GTACAAGGACATATACCTTATCAACAGGTTTAGTTGCTTCTTGATCATACTTGCTAGAAGTTCCCATCACACCATGTGAAGTATCTTCTGACTAGAGAATTGGGTGAAGAGATGACCCAGATTTAGAAGCTAAAAGAATGTAACACAACCGATCAGAACTAAAAATAATGTAGGAAATATTGCACCTGGTTATCAAGTTTTGAATTTGCTTCCACAATCATAGATGCAGCTGTGTTTTGATCGCCATGACCTTTAAAATTTTCTCCCCACATGCCAATCTGGTGGACAGACTCATACATGCTTATCCGTCTTGAGGGTACAAACTGGGTGGATGGAGAGTTCATTCTCTTCAAACTGATAGGGAGAAAATAAAAGAAGAAAAAATTCAAGCATAAAAATATGACCAAAAGATGCAGGAAGGAGTAGAAAAGACATTAAGTAAATTACCAAATCAATGAGATGAAATAATGTAATTTTTGGAGGAGCTGCGGATTACTCTGCTTTCATCATAGTTCAAAGATATGCCAACAAAATGAAATCACAATACTTTTTATCGGAGATGAAACAATGTCCAAGAATGCACTAAGAGAGTAACAGGACAGCATACAAGGCAGAGGTTGCACATCCCAGCTCACCAATAAAACAACACAAAAGAGACTACATGCAAGACAACAAAGTAAAGCTCATTTCATAAAAATGCTGATTCAACTATGATTATGGCTCCTTGACCTCTGTGTTAATAACTAGCACTTCTCAATTACTAGCATCAAAAAGTGTCAGTTAGGAACTCTAACCACGACAATAACACTTCTTTCAGTATAGAATTTCATACATTCAGTTATATACTGACCAAATAAAAATATAGATGATTTTTTAAATCTGAGTTTTGTTGGACCACAAAACAGCCCACCATTTGCTAACATGTTTTCTTTGGAACTGCAAGTAGTTGACTGTTTATGCATCAATAAACCTCAGAAATAATAAACAATCCAAACTTCAACATTTTATATCAACAGAACTTAATCAACTAAAAGAGATGATATAATTTTCACAATAGAAAAGGCATGAGAGAGACAGACAGATGCAGCCGTGATAGAGAAAGAGAACTGCCTTAGGTATCAATAAAATATAACATATCTGTAGCAGAAAAGGACAGCCCAGTAGATCAGGAATACACCAGTGTGAAAGAAACTGGAAGAAAATATGAAAAGATAATAGCTCTGCTATAACCATCAATTTGGAAGGCCAAAAACAGTCATCCGTAGAGAATCAAATGCCACAAATAAGTATACAAGATGCTGGAAAAGATGTAAATTGCTAGTCATAACTTCTATACAACTAAAGTAGCAAATCTAAAAGTAACAAATTGAGGTGAGAGAATTAGTTCATATGAAAGGGAAGAAATAAAACATATTTGAATCAAACAAATATCTTACAAGGATTAGAAAAAAGTTTATATTTCGATTGAATCAAACAAAGAAAATTTTCATTAAGACAGAATAAACTGTGAATTGTGCTATCATCATTCTCAAACAAACTATCAAACAGGCTTGAAAAAAATAAAAAGCAGGCTATGAATATTTCTCCAACCAGTCTTCCATACATTCTGCATATATCCTGCTGCTCCCTTCAAGATACTCAAGCTTTTTTCGGTAATCTTAAGGCCCCCATTCGTTTTCCTCTCTGGTCTAGCTAGTCATTTTTTTGATGAAAGGATCTTACAAAAGCACAAAAGCTACCTGTGTAGCAATAATTAAATAAATGAAAAACTAACTTATCGAACTTAACTGTACTTTCCTGTACAGTTTTTTCCACAGGGGTAAGAGTCGGAGGTGGCATAGGCATAAGGCCTTCCTAAAACTCTGGATGACAGCATCAATGCAGATTCTATGGTAATAAAGAATGAATTGTGACTTTTGCAACTTCACTGCCCCAGTTGCTGACACATCCACCAACGGGCACTGAACAAGACAGATATTGACTTGAATATTTAGTGCTTCCAAAAACAAAATTTGCAGCCAAGTGCACGGAAAAAAAAAAATTAAACTGTAATCATTCTATCTTTTTTCTGTATCATTCTCTTGCATCCAACTCACGCACAATCTGCCAAGTCATTCTGTTATTGGGGCACACTGTTTACTTTTCTCCCTTTATGGCCTAATGGTGGACTTAGGCATTGCTCAAAATTCCTCATTGCCATCAGAACGTTAAAAAACTCTTGTGAGAAGATTTCAGCACATAAAAGCTGTTATAGCTCCTAAAGAAAGTAGAACAAAGAATCAAAGCCTATCCTCCAAATATAGCAAAATACATCCTTATGACCAGTTATGGTGCCCCATAACAGTATCGATGATAATTATAGTCGGATGACACAGATTCTGGAAGGGAAGAGATCAAAAGGCAAGCAGAAGCAAAAGTCAAACAATTGCCGTTTTGCTGCTCAAAACGAATGGCAAGGAAGGAGAAACCCATAAAAAAGTCCAGTTCCATTCCTCAAGAACATATGCAGAAAGTATTTACTTCCAAAAACAATTTAATTTCCTTTCACTGCACCCACACAACAAACTCTAGTCTGCTTCTAAACCACGATTCCATATTTCAAACAGGTAATTCCGACAAACAAAGAACGCTGTAAAGCCAGAAAACTGTCAAACTAGAAGTTAAAAAACATGAAATTACAAAATTAGGAACAAAATAGCACCCAAAATTAAGCTTCAATTTAGTGTCCATGTTTTTACTACCTTCAACACATTCACTGTTAAAATGGAATCAAGCAAACCGCGAGAGGAACGAAACAAAAGTCAAAGCTAAAATCTCTTTGATATTTAAAAAGAGATATTATGTTTACATGATACAGTTTTAACAAATCCAAACAGAAATCTGCACAAACTTGTAATTTCATTTCTACTTTGGCGGAAACCAAAAAAAAAAAAAAAAAAAACCAGCAAGGAGAAGAAAAATAGCGGGTAAAAACCAAAAGAAAAATGGCAAAAATAGAGAAGCTAACCTTTTTTAAAAGACTTTCCTTTTTCGTCTGAGCTGCTTTTCAAAGGGGCATGACAGGAAGTTTCCCGCTAAAAGTCAGCAGCACAGGAAGCAGATACAAAATACAGCAAAGGAACTCGTATGAAAGACCAGACAGTTGTTGTAATTGTAGAGCTACGAGTAACAGCTCCTCCTCTTCTTCTTCTTCCTTCCCTACGAAAACCCTAAGTCCCATCATCTCCCAGAAGAATCAAATGAGAAGACGACAGCTTAAAAGAGACCTGGAAGCTGTTCTCTCTCTTTTTTTTATAAATTTAAAAAAATTATATTCTGCTATTTAATTATAATAATTATTAATTAGGAGTATATACTTTGTTATTTGTGCGTAATACTATTTATATACATATGTTTTTGGAGGAGTAATTTTTGTCTGCAAGCTTATCGTGCGCTACAGTGAGTCAAACATTTGGTTTATTTTATTTTTCTGGTTGTTTAACCCCGTCACCCTTCCACTACTGCGCTAATATGCGCACCAGATAGATACTATACTAACCTCTCTTATCCTTCACTCTAACCTACGCACCCAACGCCCTCGTGCTGTGCTGACCTCATCTTTTTCTTCATCCGGATATTTCGGAGCTTACGTGGAGCGTGTAGTCAGTCGCGGTTCAAGAGCGTGGTCTTGTAGGCTGGCGGGAAGATGTGACGGTTAGGAAGCTTGTGGGATTTAATGACGTAGTAACGGCAATTTGAACAGCCACCCCCCCCCCCAAATAATAATACATTTTTATTTTATTTTATTGCAAAATAAAAATTGGTAATTTATAAAAATATATTTTTAACTTAAAATGTACTTCATTTTATTATTAAAAAACAATTAATTTATTGACTCACTTTTAAAAAGTTTAATAATTTCAGATAATCATTGGATAATTATTATAGCAAAATTTTATGATATAAAATAAATAAAATGTAAATATAAATATTGTTGGACCAAAATTAAAAAAATTAATTATGTACTAACCAAGAGAATATTTGTATTATTATTCTTATAAATATTGCATAATATATGTTAAGAAATTAAATCACTTCAACAAAAGTCGTGTAGGTTCTTATAATCATATAACTTTTGACATTCAAACAATTTTCTTTTCCATTTTAATAAGTTTCTTTCTCCAACTTAGTGATTTATTTTTGCTAAAATAAAATTAGAGTCAGAATTTTAATTAATATTCTAAAGAAAAAATAGAGGTAACAATAATTCAAAAAGAAATAGAGTACATATGAGAATATATTACTTCTAAAAAATTGTGATATAAAATAATGAAAAGATCAAATTATTCTTAAAATTAAGGAAAAAATAAACTTGTAAGAAAATTATGTCTAATCAATATATATTTATTTTTCCCTGAACCCAATTAAAGATGAAGCAGCATGTATGTATATATATATATATATGGGTAGTATATAAATTAGGCCAGATTAGGTAATGTTAAGGTTCTTTTTAAAAAACAAATAAGGAGGAGACATAAATTACTAAAAAAAGAAAAAGAAAATGGCTTTTGAAGGAGATTTAAATCCAAATTTAAAGTAAGAAATCTGGAGGGAAGAATAATTAATTATTTAATAGTGATCAGGTGATCATACCTAACCAACCATATCCTTTAATTGCCTCTTCATGTCCTACAGGAGGCAAGAATAAGTGTCTTTTTATACAGACACATACAAGATTAGCCTCTTAAAACAATGATTAATTAATAAAATTAAATAAGTACAGAAAATAGAATCTTAATTATCAAATATTTCTTTTTAAAAAAAAAAAATTATTCTCTTGTTGGGATCAATTATTGGAATGAAATAAATTTTGGAAGTCAAAAAGTAAATTACATGATTCTTTTGGATACGACAGCAAAAAAAAAAAAAAAAAAAAAATGAATTCATGATGCTCTAAAAAATATCAAAAAGATAATTTAAGGAACGTAGTTATTTGTACTTCCTCCTCCCCCTCTTCCTTTTTAAGTTAGTACATTAATATGTTTGTATTGGAGAAAGTGGATGGAAATAATTACAAATAATAAGATGCTAATTCTTGTTTTATTTGTTTGAAAAAATAATTATTATTAGTAAAGAAAAAGGAGGAATGGTGAATATCTTTATCTTTTTCTATAATTATAAGGTCTTCTTTGATAGATGAAAAACATTTTTTACTTTTGGGTTTTGTTTATTTATTTTTTATTTTAAAATATTTATTTCATTTACAAATTTGTACAAATTATGTTGAGGCTCAGAATTTAAAAAAAAATAAATTTATAAATTAAATATAAAAGTGATTAATAGAGTTAAAGTTTACATTTCTTACACAATAATTTTGAATGTCTAATAGGGTTACATGAATGTTCTTTCTAAAAAATAAACTAAAATTAAAGAAATAAAATGAAAAACGAATAACTAAGCATCCTATGACAAACTTCACTAGCACTTGAAGGGAGTCTGAATAGTGAACTACTCATAACCTACATTATTCTAGTAAGAATATCACACTAATCACATATACAAAAAAGTGAATATTAGTAAAAAAAAAAATCAAAAAAATAACTAATGGAGCCCTTACTTTATTTAAATACATTTAAACTTGAAGATATTTATTTAATACTTACCATAGCGAGTTTTCCAAAGACAACCTATGAAAACTTATATCCATATCACTTTTCACTTTCACGCATAAGAGAACGGGAAACAATAACTTTCATTTCTTACCTACTTACTGGTACTCTTGGGGGTCTATAGGGGTGTCCCCCCTACTCATGAACCCAATATCCAATTTTTCAATTGACCAACCGTCCCCATACCCCATTCAGTAATGAGCGTCAAATATTCTATCACCTCAATATCTTGTCCGATATGATGGTGAACCATATCTCACAAACTTTTCCGGTAAGGGACTTCTCAGTCCCTTCTGATTGAGGCAATGTTCATGGTAGAGTTCCCTATGTATTGGACTCGTTCGCCCTTTCATTGGATAACCAGCAAGTCTTTTACATACAGATTTTCATCAACAAACAACCAACAAACGCATACTAATATTTTATATCATATACACAGATCAATTAAACTATATTTATACTGATGGTATATAATTAAAATAACCAGATTAGTTAATAAGATTATTGAACTATAAATTAAGAACATATACTATACTAAAATCAAGCAAGTTTGACAGTACAAGAAAATAAACAGAAAATCAAGATAAATATGAACTAATCGGTTCTGCCTCCACTAGTAACCTGTAATTAATTTTAAGATTTTCTAATTTTTCACAAAAACACAAAATTATACATCGTTAAGGCTCAATTTACCGTAATGGAGAATAGGGGCGAGGGATTCTTACCCGGATCGGTGTTTAGAGACGTCGAGTTATGTACTACACCTCCTAACAAGTACTACGTTCCTTAAATTTTTCATGTAGAATTTAAAACACTCGTCACATGTTTAAAATACCCCCTAAAATCCAAAATAAGTGTCCAAAACTCATTCCGTCCAATTTTGGGGTTTCGG